ATCGAAGATATCATTAAGATAGCAAGGTTAGGAGTATTGAAAAAATATTAAAGTTGCAGCCGACCACTTTTTCGCTTGGTTTATTGTATTTTTTGCGCTATTCCTTAAAGTCTGGACTCTTGATCTGATTATGTCTGTCATGACGGTATAGACATAAGCTTAGCACAGGTTTATCGGGGTCGCGGGACGGTGGCCCGAGGACTTATTTGTGCAATACGCAGCAATCCTCTCTAGGTTTCCGGTGAGACCATTTCACGAAATCCTTCAAACCAACTTTTCCTTCGAAATGGAAAGTCATGTCACAGTAGAGATAATTATGCTCTCTAGCTTTGATAGTTTGATGCCCTAAGGCCTTCACTGCTGAGAGAAGATGAGTGTTCCTCGATGAGCCAGCTAAACCTAAATGCCGGTCTTCATGACATGCTTTGCAGCTGCATTTTAATTTAATTTATCCTTTTGTCATGCGGCTAAATGGAAATATATTCTTAGTCATTAATTATGTCAAGATTATTATAAGTCTGTAATTGCAATTTCATCTCTCATCTTACTATTATACTTTACAGCATCATAAAGCTTATTACTACGTTTACGAGCAACCCAGCACCAGGGTGAAGTCGACATGATAATATCCTCCCATCTCACTTTTTGTCCGCTGAAGCTGGTATTCGAATCCTCTCCACGACTGTGTACGAAGTGAGAAGAACAATGGTTTTTTGTTAATATTAGGCATGTTTTGAGAAATATTTGTAGAACAATTGAATTTCAACAAAATATCATGAGATAATTTGTAGATGACAATCCCTTATTCGGCTGCTTCCTGAGATTTCTAAGGGATCTTCTATTAAATACCATCGGAAAATAGCTGGTTGGCTGAGATGGGAACAATTTGATGTCACAGCTACCAAAAAGTCGTGCAAGCTCGGGAAGCGCGGACCCTGAGACAAATACATTGACAATAGCCAACGCGGCCTCAGAGAAATTGGTAACTAGGACAGGCTCAGAATCCAGGCGAGACAAGCCCCTCTCTATTCAAATCGCTAATATTGCAAATAGGCTTAGAATTCCAGCAAGATTCAATAATTTTATGGAGTACCTTTGTCTGTGTAGCACTGGTGGCTCGGCGTCAACAGGGTTGAAAGTCAATGTGACTAAGATGAATTGAAAAGGCGGCTTAACTCTGCCAAAATGTGTACTTTCCCCCAGATATGATTTAGGTCTCGGCAACATTCCTAGTAAGTATGGGTTTGTTCGCAGCTCTAATGACAAGATCAAACCATTTTTAGCTCAGCTCGATTCCAATTTTTTTAATTTTATTTCTCGCAGGGTAAGCAGGGATAAACGGCAAGATCAACATTGCCGGGATTTTTAGCCTAAGGCGTCAACAGAAAAATTATTTAGTAGGGGGCTAGGTCTTCAAATAAGGCAGGAAAGAAAGATAATCCGAAGAAGAACGAGTCCAGCCTTCAAATAATAGCTATCTAAAGAGTTAGTGATAGTATTGAGAATCCCTCATTGGCTGTATAGTATGTCATCGAGTGTAATGACAAATACAAGTTTGCCAAATCGACGCTAGTTCCGCTGTAAGTGTGAGTTGGGTGGGGTCTGGCTTTCCGTGAGTGCCTGATGACCGGCTGGCACTCGTGGTTGTGCGGCGGAATAGAAACTTTGACACTTGACGCACACGTTCGGGTTTCTAATCTCGTCTGGGGTCATAATTAGACCCAGGCGATGTCGAACCTGTAGTAGAGCCTGGTAGTCTAAAAACCCTAATTATAAATGAAAAATAAGTAATATAGTCGATTGGTAAAGCAAACTTTGCTTCATCGACAATCCCACCACAGAATGTGGTATATGAAAATGGTTGGCCTTCTTTGAAATTCACTTATACCCTGTTACGTAATGGTGCTCGTGGCAATATGGCATAGTGGCTAACGTTTCGAGACTGTACGCTGCACTGTGTCGGTTCGAGTACTGCTGGGGGTGCTGATAAAATCTAGGCGAGGTCGAAATTGCAGTTCTCCCTGGATCGGAATACCTTTTGGGAAACAAGGCTATGTGAAATTCAGTGGAAAATTAATGTCTACTCATATCTTTCATCACCTTGAACGAAATAGTGAATACATCTTACGCAATTACTTGAAACTAAAATAGTTACGATGAGGCAGCGTACAACGATGAATTTGCCTATGCGCCAGAAAGTTTAACTCAGGCTACTTTGTCGACGGGCTCCGAATAGACTTAGTTAAGTTCTAAACCATTTTTAGAAAAAAATAGCAAAGTATGCACTTACAATATGTGAAAAAAGAGGTTAATTTATACTAAGAAAACGAGCCCTTAGGGGTAGTGAGGGCGAAGACTCAATAAAGTAAGGATAGCTTAAAAGTGAATCTCTTGCAATAGGAACCATTCTTATTTGGACAACTTTCAACTCAAATCCTGCTTAAATATGTTCAAAATATTTATATTAAACTGCTTAAAAAATATGTACATATCGCTATTCCACACTTATATAAGACTAGAAATATATCTCTTCTTTTCCTATAGTCTCGCGGTGACTAATCTTTACTAGCCAAAGGTGTTGAGTAATAAATGTTTTGGTAAATGCAGCATTTCTCTTCTGGGTGAATCTGAATCGAATAGCTAGGCATAAGTGTTAAAGCCAAGATGGTTCGGTGACCCTAATAATATCCCGTAAATGACAAGATATGCATGATCTTTTTAGACATTAGTAATACATTGTTAGCTAATAAAGTAGAATTCATAAATATTTTTTTAACAAATGAAGGATAAAAATCTAAAAGAAGTGATAGAATATGACTGCTTTGATAAATGAATACAGCAAAGTGATCTCAAATATATAAGCGGCCACTTAGCTAAGACGCCCTCATGTAATGCAAGACCATATGGCCTATCAAAAAAGGTTATCATTATGCTCTGTCTTCCACAGTATAGAATAATATATGCAAAGTAATAGCAAAAGGCGCAAGAACCTGGCATTACTTGCTGTGCCAGATGCCACTAAAAGAGTGTTAAATGTTTTTAAAACGAGAAAAGTTAGGCAATGTGTTAAAATGAAACAGGCCTAGTTCAAATTTCGCAAGAATACATCACATAAAAGGTAGAGCCTAATTTGTCCAATGGTTTCTAAGTATTTTCAATGAAAAAAGTGCACTAAATATTTATAAAAAATGCATAAAAAACACTGTTCCTCTACATTTGGTAGCAAATATGGTGGCGAAAGTTGCAGGCGACATAACAAAATTATAAGACCTAGAAAGGTTGGTTACGATGTCTGAGAGGATAGCAAAAGTAATTAGAAACAAAATAATCTCTTGCGTTAGTTCGACTTCCTTTTCGCAACTTGGTCGCAGCGTCAGAGAGACCTTGTTGAACGTACATAGTCCACTAACCTCTGCCATAGTTTTGTGATTTCAGGCATTAGACCATTCTCTTGGTACATTCTCAAACGTTTCGCAGGAATCGTAGTCGGAATTATCATTGAGAGGTACCATCGTAAGAACAAAGTCACGACTTATCAAGGTGACAATTGAAGGCAATCGCAATTACCAATTTTCTATCCAACCGATGTGGCAGTGTTGGTTCGACATTATTTTCGAAACTTGATTGGAATGTCAAGAATACCTGGTGAAACGTACCTAGTCCAAAGTCCTCTGCCCATATTTTTTGACCTATCTTCTAGTGTTGCATTTATTTCTCTCAACCCCACTTTACATGAGTTTAGTAAAGCGTAATCATCTCCACCACCGGTACCAGTTACCGTTCGCAGGAATTCTGAACTTCATTCAGCTTCTCTTTTCTCAAACCCCGATTGTTAAGTAGTCGCTGCTAAACATCAAAATCACTTATATAAAGACCAAAATGGTGTTGACTTCGATGTGTCTATTTGACGAGTTTGAAGCTTGGTGCGGAGAATGGTAAGACTCACCGATGATGCCCACAATTACGCCATATTCAAGGATTTTGAACAGATGATGCTCATGTCCATGCACATGCAAGTGCCAAAGCCTCGGAATCTTCCTCTCCCTAGGCTTCAAACCCATAACTCGATTATCTTCCCCCTCCTCCCCACCCACATTGTGTCTCATTCTTTACGGCCCTTTGTACGGCTCAAGGCATCACTGCTGGTGCGAGAATGCACCGCTTCTCATTTTTCCTTTCAATCAAGAAAATCACACTTCTCTCGTCTCTCAAGTTGACATTCCCATCTAAGCCTAGGTTACTAGGATAATGTTTCTATGTGTCTGCGCTGGTATCCCCGTGGTCAAGCATGTCACCAGTCACCTCCTCTTCATGCACATATACAAAAAATACACATAAATGCCTACGTGCATACACCGGTAACCTAGATGTGGCCCATCAATACCTTTAGTCTCTAATTGTATATCCTACACCTCACAGGTGAACCCACTTGGCAAATTTTTGACCAATTCCACGTATGAATCCTCTCCTTGCAGTTGCCTTTTCTTGACTTCCCTTTGTTCCACATGAGCAGCTCCTTGGTGATATCTCTTCTTCTTGTTGAACAGTTGTCCCGGGTCCAAGCGTCTTCTTTTTGATGGCTTTGCTGAATTTCCAAATCTGCTGAGGCAACAGGCGAAATTATCGCTGACTCTTCCCTATTCTAATCTTCTGTTCATCAGGTTTCTTTGAAAGAGGATTTCCACAGTCTCCCTGATACTCCGTTTCCTGGTGTTTTCATCATATGAGGCCAGTCTTCCCGTTGCGTTCCAGTCAATTGTGTGTCCGGTAATGGCGATGTGTTCAGCTATCTACGATCTTTCTCTATTCATTCTTCTGCATAGTCGCTGGTGTTCGTTAATCCTTGTGTTGATTCTCCGTCCAGTCCCTCCCATGCATTTTTGTTTACAATCTTTTTAGCTTATGCTGCAAACTACGGAGCACTCTATTTTGTTGACTTCACCATGTTATGTTGGCAATGGTTGTCCTGTATTTCAGGATTATACAAATATTCCATTTGCCTAGTATCGACCGTAGCCTCCGAGCCAATTCGCAGAAGGGTAGACATGTACATCGTTTTTCCTCCGTTCCTCTTGCTTTCCCTTCCTAATCTCCGCCCTTCCATTTGCTTCTTCTCGATATCCGTTTCCAAGAGACATCTGAGTTAGCTTTCCCATTTCCTCTTCCCAGAATTCAGAATCAGTGAGCCATAGGCTTCTTATGACCATACTTCGGAGTATTCTACGCTTCATTCCATAAGTATGGTTCGACTGGAAGTTATGAGTTATTCCAGCATGCGATTTCTTTAGGAAAAGTCGTTTTTTGATCTCCACATCCAAGAAAGGTAAGTGTCTCTTCTCTTCCGCATCCATAATAAATTTGAATTTTTTATCCATTTCGTTTATGAAGAGCATGAACTCGTCTATTTTTTCTTGTCTAGGCGACTAGATTGTTAAGTAGTCATCCAAATATCACATAATTACTGTTGGCTGCTGAAGTGACATTTTGAAATTCTCCTCCAACTTATCAATGTAGACATTAGCCAGCAGGAATGAGAGTTGTGGGTCCATAGGCAGACCAAATATTTGCTCACCGATGCGGCCGTTAAACGTGGAGCTAATCTCTAGCTTCCATGCTAGGTTCACTTTTCAAGACCGGGCTGTTGGGGTCCTATAGTGTAGGCCTAATGTGGACCACCTTAAAGCTTTATGTCCGCCCGACCCCTTAATCTCTTTTCAAAATATCATCAATGTTCTTACTGTGGTTAGCAAAATAGTTAGCTTAATAATAATGAGTTGATGTAGCGGTATCTTGTGTGCAAGTTGAACGAAGTACTTCTGGTACAACAAGCCGAAATTATCCAATAAATCCTAATGGATGACGGCTCGACCAGCTTGAGCCGGACGCTCTAAGAGTAATTAATTATGCATAAAACAAAAACATACAAAGTATCAGATAACGAAAAACTAATCAATCTAAAGCATACTCCAAGAATTATCTAGATACTACTTTGATTTCGATCAATATGACACTTTTTCCCATAAATTGGTAAAATTAAGCTAGAAGCTGCTTCGACTAACGACTGGGATAAAGCACATATATTGAGACAAAGATATAGTTAAAAACATCACAAATTCGTCTCTCAAGAATTATCGTGCTCCTGAGATCAGAATTAGGTTGGTCTGAATATATTCAAGCTCAAAAGAATGAGTTTAGGATCCCAGAATATGACGACAAATTTAAATGAGAGACACGTTAGAGATGCGAAGTTATCATTTTTATTGAGGCATATCTGAATAATTACCATTAGAGACCAATTAAATATAACTGAACTGGGCAACTTATCTAGCCGACGACTTAACAAGTGAAAAACAGAAACTGTAATACTTTTAAGCAGTTAAAGCAGATCTATTAGAAATATAAGAATATGGCAGAGTCCGTAACTATTAGTTAATCAAGAGTTAAGCACTGAACCCAAGTCGTTTGAATGTTTTCTTGTTTGATATTTGAGTGGAACATGAACTTTGCCATTGAAGTTCATTTTATCATATTTCTTGCTGATTGGCGGAACTCATGAAATTGGCACCTGCACTTAGTTGCAAAATATTTGAGGCCAGTTACCGAAAAGAAGGAAGGAAAGAAGATAAAATTATCATAGGCTAATGCCAGACTGATAAACAAAGGCTAAGTCTTTCTTTGTCGAAAAATTGTTGATAGTATGTATATGATAGTTTGATTGAGTTTGTTTGTTCTCAAGTTGAGAAACCTTTTTCTAGCCACTATACGGCTTAGTATATCCATTTTTCTATAAAGTGAACAGTTAATATAGCTCACACGACTGATTATGTGTACATGCGGCCACTGATAAAATCTGCTATTCATAACTGGTAGGTTTTAGGTCAAGTCATCAGATCTTGAAAGAAAGCTGTAGTCAAAATCTTATGAGAATTAGGGTGACTATAGCACTTATCCATCGGCTAAATCATCCCTATAAGATGTAACATTATCTGATTATTAGCATGTCGGTATGGAGATTGATTTAATGAACGTCCATCGGATATTCGGTGAATGAAGAGGAAATTGATTTTAAATATGTCAAATTTTGGTTTGGCTTCAAGCAAAGAGTTATCCAACGAT